TGTAGAGAAAGACAAACTCTTGCACAAATCCAACAATAAAGCCAAATCAATCCAAAACACAGAGATATACGTGGTTCGGCAATTGCCTACGTCCACGGGAGAGGATGGGGGAGATTTCACTAAATCAAGGAGAGCTCAAAGGGTTACAATCACACAAATTCTCTCAAACTAACCTCAACCAAAAGATCTCAGCCTTGCTCACAATAGTCTCCCTCTCACAATGCCTCAAAAGCATTCATCATCTCTGATAAAAAAAACCCTCACAAATCGTTTCCCCTATTTAATCAAAACAAAACCCCATATCAGACTGCAAATAGGAAAACCTGCGTATCAAAAAACCCCGTCGTAGTCGGACTTTAACAGAGCTCACAAGCTCGACTTGACAGAGAGAAAATCAAACAACTGCGAGAAACACTTCAAAGTCGATTAACAGGACTTTAGTCGACTTGCCTAAGTCGACTAACAGTTATTGCTAAGTCGACCTGACAGAGGTAAAATCACAATTCGACTGCCATATCGTTAATTACCTCTGCACAGTGCATGAGTCGACTTTATGACGTTTTCTGGTTTGTCTGATCTTTTCCTGTGATTTCTCCACACATTCTCCAGCCTCGAACGACGCGATTTTCAACAAATGAGCGACCCAAACAAGAGCATCAATGTGTCGTTTCTCCAAATACGGCTGCACCCCATGGTTCGCCCTACCGAGTACCACCCTCTCCCATGTGGGATCAAGCGCCCTGTCAGTTCTCGCAAATGGCCGTCAACGGTCGCTCAACAATCTACAATTAATAGTTCAACAGGTGTTCTGCAATTGGATCTAGAGATTGGTTGCTTGAACCATCCTTCCTTGTGAGCATTCGCCGATTATCCTTCGTATGCTCTATAAATCTCTCACATCGCATTCAAGAACCATTGTTCGAACGTAAGTGATACGTACGATCATATGTGGGCTCTCCTCTGCATGGTGAAATTAACCTGTATCTTCGCCGAGAATGTATATTAGCACTCATGCCTATCACAAGTGAATAGGACGGACGCTGCGATATACCAAGTTCTTCCAAGACAGTCCTCGAACCAACTGCTCCTTCACAGCCTCCTGTAACTGCCATTGCTCCGTCGTAGACAAACCACCGTCGACTGTTATAAGGTGCATCTCCAACCACACGGCGCACCTGTCAAGGTGAACACATACCCCGTTGTAGATCGGCCGCTTATTCCGAATCCCCGGCCATAATCCGAATCAACATAGGCCAATGATAAACTGCCACTGTAGTGTCTCCGCTCATAAACCAACCAACATTGAGCGTTAACCTAGAATGTCACCTCAAAATCCATCTCACGGCATACCCAATGACCACTCCTGGATCTGCATGTATCTCGACACCATGCTCACTGCCTGCTGACAAATCCGGCCTCGTACATACCATCGCGACCATCAGCTCCCAACTGCGCTCGCAATATGGAGTCTTCGACATTAACTTCACGGTTCTTCTACTCGTGATCACAGGTTCGTTGTGAGTTCGTGCAAGGCTTCCGCAAAGGCGCGCGACAGCTGCGACAGCCCTCAAATGGAGTTTCTTTTGGCCAGCACGGCTCTGAGTTCTGCAGCTTTAGGATCCTAACTCTAATCGAGTCGTTATTAATCAAATGGTCATCACGACGCACCGAAAATATATCAACTGTTGACTTAGTATCTTGTTAATCCGTGCATTAATTAATCCAAAGATTATCTTTCTAATATACAATTAACTCCTTGATGACAAGACCGAAGCTGATGGGAGATTAACTTGTACATAGAATAAATCACAGCCTCAACCACATACTCTCTCTCATTTGTTACAGCGCACCGAGTCCCACATGAGATTTTAAAAATTTAAAATCACATGTGAGACTCAGTAAGCTGTAGCAAATGAGAGAGGAGATGTGGTTGAGATTGTGGTTAAGGATGTGCCCCTATCATTTTCCTTTCCTCACTGAGCCCACTTGCTCTCATACAAGCCAGCAAAAGATTCCAAAACCTAGGTGAAGTAATTTTACATAACAAATTGGTGGATCGGCATCAACACAGTAAAAAGGTAAGAAAAATGTCGGAGAGCCTCTAATCAAAAGTGACCCAAAATCACAAAAGCACGTGGTTAGCCTAAACCAACATGTATTTCTTTGACTAATCAAAAGAATCCAGTAAATCTCTGTACTCTTGATATACATTCAATCAAAGAGCATCGTCTCTCTACAGTGAGGGGCCAGAACAGAGGAAGCCAATTATTTTCTTCTTCTTGATTTTTTTTTTAAAAAAACCCCTCTTGGTGGATGAAAATGACAACCTCACATGGCTGAAGGAAAAGCCAAGAAAACCCTCTGTATTCCATCCGCCGACCAAAAGAAGAAGAAGAAGAGAAAGCATTCGATGCCCTCAAATTTCACTAGCTTACTCCCAGGTATCTTCATCACCAACCCTCAATAATCTGCATCACAAATAAAATAGAATCCTATGTTTCAATAACAATGACATGCGAAAACAAAGCGCTCAATTTTTTACGAACCGAGGACTCACTCACCATCTTTCTTCTTCATGAGATTCCTAGCAAATAGAAGGCAGATGACCAGAAATCCTACCCCTGCTGCTCCTCCGACAACAATTGCTACTGTTTTCCCTGTTTGTGCTCCTGTTAATGACAAATCAGCAGAGAAGAATGAACTCAAATTAATGCAGGAATCAGTATATTATATGTAATGTATCAAATTTAATGTCCTAGAAAATATATCACAAGTTTATAAGAGGAATGTGATGGCTGGAGGACCAACATTCGCTTGAAGCGCCACAATTAAACATTTAAAGAAAGAAAAGAACACTTGACGTTTTTTTTCTTTATGCAAAGGCATAGGGCACAAGTCCACACCAAATTTACCAAATTAGTATAAAAAAAAGAGGTAATTTTGTGTGTTGGAACTCTTCATAGACACTTGAGGGAAAGGAAAATTTAAGACATGATTCCTTCCATTGCATAAGTAACTGAAAGCTAGCAAGAGATGAAAGAACAAAAAGAGAAATTGATTCAATGTAATGGCTAGTGCACTACAAAATGCACATAAATAAAAGGACTAAGGCTTCCCAATGCACTATAACAATATAAAACATCAAAAGAAGCCTAAAAATGGGGAAAATAATAATAAATAGAAACAAAATCCAGATGAAATTAACAAAAAACAAACAATAGCTGATGAAATTGTTCAGGTAGACATGATTAATTCCTATCTATGCATCATATTCGTAAAAATATGTTGAAAATACAGATAAACTCATTCTCAAAAAATGCATCAATATTAACTCAGAACTGATCAAAGAGGCAGTGATGCAAACAGCCACTGTTACAACTCAATACCACCTAATGCATCACAATTTGACCAAAACAAACAAAACCCTGACAAGATTTGATCAACTAGCAATGCTAACTCTTCATCTCCATGCATCATAATAAGCATAAAAATGTGGAAAAGATATATAAACTCATTCATAAAATGAATCAGTATTTGCTCAAATACCCATAACTTAAACAGCTCAATACCAACTAATGCATCGAAATTTAACAAAACCAGATGAGATTTGACCGAGTATCAAAGCTTATTCTTCTCTGCGCATCTCATTAAACATAAAAAAATTGTAGCAAATGACAGATAGATTCACTTTCATGTAATGCATCTTTAATAAATCAAAATAATGAATAGCCAAATGTTGAAAATGTCAAAATGGTAATGATGCGAGCAACTACCCTGTGCAGCAAAATACCACCTAATGCATCAAAATTTCACAAAAACAAACAGAACCCAGATGAGATTTGATCAAGTAGCAATACCTAATTCCTCTCTATGCATCATAATGAAAATAAAAAATGTAGGAAAAACAGATAAATTCATTCTATAAACGGATCAATGTCCTATAGAATACTCAAATGCTGAAATTAATCAATCAGGCAATGATCACAACTATCCCTATACAGCTAAATACCACGTAATGCATCAATTTCACAAAAACAAACCAAACGAATGCCTAACTCCATCTCTATGCATCATAATAAACATGAAAAAATGTAGGGGAGAAAATGCAGATGAACTTATAAAGTGCATCGAAATCAACTCTAAAATAAAGATTACCCAAATGCTAAAAGGCAAAAATACCAAAAACTCACCTCCTATTCCTCCATCTCCGCCACCAATACCACCATGAGGAACTCCATCGGGATAATAGTTATAGCTAATGTAGCACTTGTCAAGGTAGACTTGGCCGGAGCTCACTCCCCCGCACTCCACCTCCGACTTCTGCACAGCCTGAGACACGCACTCACCACAATCCGATGATGACAAGTCCCCTTCGCATTGTGCCATTGTGTACACCGACTGGTAGCTCGTTGCATAGAATCCGTTTGCGGTCGTCATTCCGCTCTGGAGGCTGGCAAACGCTGTATCTCTCTTCTGTTCGAATCCACTGCCGGCACTGCGTGAACCACAAGTTTTGAATAGCATTTGAGTGCCTGAGACCTGAGGGAATCCGGAGACCTGGAGAAGCACAAGAATAATTGGGTGAAAAGGCTTGGAAATGTAAGAAGTCAAGAAAATTTGGTATTACCCTTCTTCCGCCACTTGCAAATTTGGAACACTAGAAATGGTGTTGCGGAGAAAAAGGGGAAAACCAGTACATTATTTATGAAAATTTAGAAATTTAAAGAAAAACATATGAATATTCAGGTCGTTTGCAGACATGTAAACAAAATCAAAGTAGCAAAAACAGAATGTAATAATCTCTACGAACTCATTAGAAAACTAACCGACAGTCCACTATCAATTGTGCAAAATAAATTATAACAATAACAATAAAACTGCGCCCCCTAAGAAAAAAAAGGGAATTTTCCAAAAAAAAAAACTTCACACCTAATACTAAGTATAGCACCAAAATCAATAATTAAAAAAAGGCAAAAATTAAGGGAAAACATCTTAAAATTTTACACCATCAAACAAATAAAACAACACATCAAGGTCACTTTCAATATATCAATAAAAACAAACAATGTAGCATCAACAAACGCCTAATCTGCCAGTGACCCACCAAAAATGTTGGGATAAAAGCAACCCAATATTTCACCCTTTTTTTTTGAAAATTCCGTCACCCGATACAGGCTACAAAGCATCGCACAAAACATCATCAAAAGGGTAAAAAATTAAATAAATTACAAATAAAAGCACCCATTAAGGTCACTTTCATGTAACAATAAAAAAACAACATAGCATCGACAAAAGCTTAATCCACCAATGACCCACTAACAAATTTAGGTAATAAGGAGCAACCCATGTCCAAACATCCCCCAACAAAACAAACAATTCACCAATTTCTCATAATTAATTCATCACCTGATACAGAGCGTAGCAGCCAGTGAGCTGAACCCTAGCGGCAACGGAACTACCACACAAAGACGACCACATGGGCAAGAGGTGCTGAACGCAGGCAGCGCAGTCGCTGCTGCTGAGATCTCCCCTGCACTGAAACAGCCCAGAAATCTGCTGCCCAGTTGAAGAAGACGATGTCTTGAAGAACTTGGAGCTCGCTGACTGAGCAATGCGCAGCCCTTGTAGATGAGGGCGAAGAGGTCGGCGGATGAGATTGGGTTGAGGAGGAGAGAGAAGAGGAGGAGGAATAGCGTTGAGGTTTTCGAAATGCCCATTAATTCTAGGGTTTGATTGATTTTGCTCTCTCTCTCTCCTCCCTCCCCTCCCCTTTCTCTTCTCTCTGTGAGGATGATGGTCCTCTCCCTCTCTCTCTCTCCTCTCTCTCTCTCTGTAGTGGTTTTACTAGCTTTTTTATTTTCTTTGCTAGAGGAGTGGAGATTGGGCTTTGATACATGCTATATTATTATATTATTATTTTTAGATTATTTGCACTTTGGTACATCGAAGTTTACATTGATTTTAGCTTTAGTATTCCTAAAATAATTTCTTGACATTTTGATACCCCAAAAGTTATGTCTTTTTAAACTTTGATATCCAAAGTTTTTTTTTTTTTCTGACACTTTGGTACTCTCAAAGTTACGCATTGCTTATCTCGGATACTCTTAGGTTTTATTTTTGACGCTTTGATACCCCATAGATTGGGGTGTTACTGATAAAAATGTGTAAATATTAGGGTTATCAAGGTATCGAAAAATAGCTTTGGAGCAGCAATGTTAAAAGATAGTGTAAACTTTAAAGTATCTTAGTGACACATGAAAACTTCGCAAATGTTAAAGTTGAGATATTAAAATTTAAGGTGTCAAAATGTAAATATTTTTTTATCGTCTTCTCTCTTGACTTTATTTATTAAGGTATTTTGTATATGTACATCATTCTAACCTACTGCATTTTCAAATTTATCATCTAAATCTAAACGTTGCTAACTTACCACCAAAAGTCTCTTGTACCATCTAAATGTCAAATTTTACATATTTGGAATTGGAGCGTAGGAAACAATTAACATAGATAATTGGGGTAGATTTAAAAAGAGTATCCAGATATAGAGGTTGAATTTGGTAATACTACTGACACATGGGTTATATACGCGAAAATCCCTATAAACTTTTTGTCCACAGCTTTATTTATTAACGCTAAACTAGTTTAAGGGTTTTAATACTTTTTGGAATTATTCAAAGTTGATTTAAGGGGGAATGAGAATTTTAGGGGGGTGGGCGAGGGGAGAGAATCTTGATTCGGTGAGTTTGACTAGGGTTTGAATGTTTGGAGTGAGAGTAAGATTGTTTTGAAATGGAAAATGCTAGAGCCACTCCCCCTATCCACGCCTCCAACTACACTCTTTTCTTGCTACAATGTATTGGGGTCCACATGAGAATTTTTTTTAATTTCTCATGTGAGCCCCAGTGCACTGTAGCGAGAGATGAGTGTGATTGAAGGTGTGGTTAGGGGTGTGACTTTTGTGCCTCCCTTTTGAAAGAAAAATACCCCAGGGACCCAAAAAAAAAGGACACCTATGGGACAGGTGAGGTGTCAGTTTCCTGGGGGTGCGATTTACTGTTCATGAACAGTAAATCACACCCCCAGGAACTGACACCTCACCTGTCCCATAGGGGTCCCAACTTTTTAGGGTCCATGTAGAAATGCCCCTTTTGAAATTGAATTGTTTCTGGTTGATACCTATTAATTTATAGCAGTCTTGACCGAATGGTACTAAGGTGGTTGTATAATATATGCATTACGTCATAGTGAAGCACAAATGGTAGGTGAGAGGAAGAGGATTAGTAGCGTAGATTGGGATTAAAATAGAGCTTACTCAACAATTTTTATAATGCCTGTTGACTATCATTATGAGTGAGCTGTGTAATTACACAAGGAATGTCAATTGAACTCTAGGCTCATTCATCTCCGACTCCTATTTGATTAAAACATAGAAAAAGAAAATTCTTCAT